AGAAAAAGTTGGGCCCTTCTCAAATGATAGTCTAGATAAATTTTGGAAAAACTGAGTATGCAAAGTGGCATATTTAGTCAAGGTCCACACATCCAGAAAGTTTCATTGAAATCTGAGAGGGTGCTGCCAGCTCCGAATACGATTTGGCGCGAAATGCGTCTATAGCCTTTTATCTGAGGAACGCACACAAATGCAGTACTGTTATGTTTACAATCTTTTGCTGCCAGCTGATCTAACAATTTCTATTGTTAGATCAGAACGACTATTGTAGGCAACATCTTTTTATTCGGCAACCTTTCTATTTGAGCTGCATGTTAAACAGCAGTGCTATCATCGGTAACTCTAAATCGGCAGCATTTTTGTAGTGCGTGTGTTTCATTTCAAGAAAACTCTGCTAGATTACTTTTTCTCAGTAGTAAAAATCAAATCAAATTGAAGCTGAAAGCCAACAGAATCGTTTGAATGCATTCAGCGAAGTGTTTTCATTAGAAAATCCGATGAAATTAGAGTTTCAATTTGGGTTGTCTGTCATGCCGAAGTCGTCATTTCTCCTATCTAAATAAATTTGTTCAATAAACTATAAAAAAACTAAAGATTTCTTTTCAATTTGTCTTTTTTTTTTAAAGACAATGCAGTTTCCTACAAACTTTGTTTTAAACATCGTGTCGAAAAATATTTAAGGCGCTATTTTGAAAACTTTGGTGGAATCAAAATAGTTGAACTTTAGCACCAACTTGTTTGATTGGCCTTAACGAACAATTATGTGATGTTTTATGGCATTCGGAGAGGGCAACATAAAATCGATTGGTCAGTTGGCGTGGATTTGCCCAGCAATATTTAACTGTGTATTTTTGTGGCGTGAGCGAAACAAAATCTGAAGAATTATTTTCAGCGCTGGAGTCTACTTTGGTGTAAAAAACGCAGCTCGAAATGATCCCAACAATACGACTAGGTACCATTTAAAAAAAACCACAAATTTCGGAATCAGAGTATTCTATGATCGATATTTTGAGAATTGAACAAGCTTTCTTTATCAACCGGAATATTTGCAAAAACAATCAAACAAAAATTTGTTATATTTTCCTTTCAATTTCAGAACAGCAATCATAAATCATAATAAGCATAATTAGCTAAATGAAAAATGGTATTTGATCAATTGTACTGACATCGCAAATTAACTATGAGTTCAAATCCTGGTTTTCATTTCTTAAATCTGAAACCATAAAACGTGATCATCAAGCAATCGAAAAAAAAAGATTTGGTATCATTCACCTACTTTACTGAAAATCAGCTTTGTCGGAAACTAATCTCCCTGAAAAGACTGCAAAATTCTACCGAAACAGATCTACAGAAATATGACACAGAGTATACTGAAAACCAAAATTTGGCACTTTTATCTTCATATGTAAATTCAAATCGAACAACTAAAGCTTAGTTTTCATTCAAAATGGAGGCATTTCTATAACACAACCTTTATTCACAACACGTCTTGGTCATGTCTTCTAATCTCTGATCATCATTTGCAATGCATCCCATGCATCCCAAAAGCTAGCAATCAAGAATATGGCTTTCCAATTCTGCGATTGGTGTCATCGTTTCCGAACTCGAACATTCATCCACGCAGCCTCATTGTCTACCGCAATTCAGGCAATAACCAATCACATTGTCTAACATTACTTTCCCTGGGAAGGTGTCAAAAACCAGTCGAATTTTCATCAATTTTTGATCAGCTCTTTCTTGCACCACCCTCCATGCCATCAAATGCTACAAGCTTATGGCTGTCAATTCGAATCGACTGCTGATTCACAGCCGAAAAAATGGTTGCCAACTTCCAACATATCAGACACCACCTTACCTTCCCCGGAAATTTCTTCCCTCTTGACACAAGTGAGACAGATTTACGGGTTCAATACGGGAAAATTGACACTGATTCCCATTCATACATGCAACAGCAGTAGCAGACCAAAAGAACCAGAGGCTGGAAGTTGAAGTTTTTCCTCGTTCCGTCGTCGTCGTCGTCATTGCCGCCGTCGCAGGACAAAACCCGGACGTTTGCTCACATCGAAACGAGACACGGTGAACCGAAAGGCATTTTCGGTGTGAATAATTTAGAGCAGTTCCATTTTCCAGTCGGTTTTACATTATAGGTTCTTGTACCCGGTTTCGATTTTTGTGCCTTTTCCGTAGTCCCCGGAAAAGAAAAAGAAGAACGATGTGCATGTGTAGATACATCACGTTCTCAAAGTGGTCGGTTCAAAGAACGACGGTACCATTCTTTCCCTCCAGAATGCTTCTTGGTTACAGTATACAGAGAAAGGGCTTCAGGGTAAGGCGGCAGACCTGTTTTATTATTAATGCAGCAATCAAACACGAAACTCTGCTGTCGATCCCCGGTCTTTCCATCCTCGGCAAAAAGTATTCTGGGTTTCACCAAGGCAAGGTGACATGCAGGGACAACCTCCCTTCGGGAAGTCATGAACATCAACCAAACCAGCTGATGATGGGTGATGATAATACGGAACGACAGGGTGTCGCTCCCGAGAACAGGAAGGGTCTTTAAATGGACCAATTTACCGAATCAGCTCGGAACCAACTCAGGACTGGAATAGGTGCGTTTCGTTCCTGCTAAAGACAATAGTTGGTTCTTGCTTAATTTTTGCTACGTTCACTATGGGCAGCCCTACTTTTGCTCAATAAAACAGATGAAATTATCCTTAATAAGTAAAAAAAATCTCCTTAAAATAGATCGGGTTGCTCCTTAAATGATTGATCAAAATACGTTAAAAATCTTTAAATGCTCAGTAAATATTTAAAGTACGCTCCCTAAAATAGAGAAAACTGTACATTAAGCATTTGAAAATGCTCCTTAGTGTGTACCACTTTGCACCATTTTAAAGTGTAATTGTACCATATATCATCGGAAAAGCTGCTGTAGAAAGGTTAATAAGTACCATGAAATCATCTGAAATGTTCAGTAAAAATGCACAAATGCACACAATGATTTACTGAATATTTCAGCTGATTTCATGGTACTTATTAACCTTTCTACAGCAGCTTTTCCGATGATATATGGTACAATTACACTTCAAAATGGTGCAAAGCGGTGCATACTAAGGAGCATTTTCAAATGCTTAATGTACAGTTTTCTCTATTTTAGGGAGCGTACTTTAAATATTTACTGAGCATTTTAAGATTTTTAACGTATTTTGATCAATCATTTAAGGAGCAACCCGATCTATTTTAAGGAGATTTTTTTTACTTATTAAGGAACATCGTCATTGTTTAATGATTCATTTACCTTTTTACCGTTCACTATGTTTGTCTTATCCAAGCAGATTTCCACGTATAATGACGACTCATCACCACCCGGTCGGTGGAAGTGCCAAAAAGATGATCTCTCACTTTGCGCTAGAGCTCCTACCCGAGAAGCGAAACTGGTGCTTGACCTTGCAAAATGAAACGGGTAAATAGTGGGGAAAATGAAGAGATGATTTATGACGACGGATTTAAGTGGTAGTAGAAGTATTTTCTGGGTGAGTGACGTTTATGATGGTCAGTATTTTTTGGTGGTGATCATGTTGTGATTGTTTTATGATTGCCAGTTACTCGCGAATTGTCTCATAACCATAGCGGTGAGATGACTGTTTCATTGGATGTTGTGGGGAAATACATTTTATTTGGCAATAAATTCGCTCGGACCATTAAGATTTCATTCGCAGTCTTAGATAGTTTAGTAAAGGTTGGCACGGTGGATTCCGCCGGGGAACACTCAATTGAAGGCGATAGTATCTGAAATTTGAGAAATTTGGGTGACTGTTGCGGTGAGGCCAATAGTCCGAAGTAGACTATTTAGTAGTCGCTGCGGATGAAAATCCTTCACCGTTGGCCCTAAGCACTATTGCGGGTGCTCAGAACATTTGAGTGGGTGGAAGTGAAGGATCAGTTGTATAAACGGTTTTCCTTTATCTGTGATTGAATGAAGCCAACTCTACCATTTTCACTTAAAAAACAAGGCTGTAGTGTACATTTCCGATTTGAACTACTGACCCAAATCTACAACTAACCATTCCTACCAATCATTCCCACCGGAAAACTGCGTTCAACCCAGCAACCTTCAACAAACCTCGCAGACAGGACCCCACGACACAACTTAAAAAACGAACGCAAGAAGAAAAAAAAACAAGCGAAAAAAGAAAACGAATCCGAAGGGGGAGAAACTTAATTTATGTCAAATCATATGCGATTTAAGATAAGAGTTAATTGAAAATCCCACTCTTCCGTCAGCAGCTCAGTGTGTGTTGTCTGTTGTGTGTGCAGCCGGCGTTGTGTTAGGTTCAGCCCCCACAGCCAAACCGGACTCGCCGGGGAATCGGCTTGACTTTCGGCAGCCGGCGCAGCACAAGTCAGAGCGGTGCCAAAGAGGGGCAAGGTTTGAAGTTTTGCACGTATGCAATCAGAGTTTATTTTTTTCAATTTCGGCTACGGTGGGGAGTGGAACTACGGGAACACCATAGGTGGAGTTCCACTTGAGTTTGACTCCTTCTGACGGCAGTCAATTATAATTCCACTTTCCTGGGTGGGGGGAAGGCGAAGAAGAGTGCGGGCAACTGTTTTCCTGTTGTCCGGCGGATCGAAATTGACTGCTAAATGTTTTCCAATATGCTGTCACTCGCGCGTAAATGGCGTCGCTGGATCTTGATCATCTTGATGAAGGCTCAGTATGTAGGCATGCACACTGTGCATAGTTGGTGGGCTGCAGTATCGAAAACGTTGCGGTTTTTTAAAAGGCTCATTTGTCCCCGCGCGGGAGTTGTTTCGATGCGATGGAAGTCGAAGGCCGCAATTGCGTGTGCAATTGTGATCGATGCCCACAGGCACAGGAATGTATGTTTTGATGGACAGTTGCGGTTAAGGTGGTTGCGAGTGTGTTATTAAGAAATGTGAGTGAATCATATGTGTGTGTCATGATTGGAAATTTCAATATCAGAGTAAGCAAGTACCTTTTTTTGTTGGGAATTGGTTTACGTTTCAGTTGATTATCGTACCCTGAAAATAAAAAAAACAATATGAGTGCTGATAGAAAACATGTGCATCCTTAAAAAAAAACATTCATAATGCAATTTTTAAGACGTTCCGTTACAAAATAAAAATGATTTAAATTAAATGTGCAAGGGAAACAAATTGAAATTTAATTGAGTATTTATTAGAATATATTTCAAATCTTTAAAAAACCAGTGCTTGTTCACGAATTTAAAAATTAGCTGTTGAATTTTGAATTGGATAAAAAAATGTTGAATAGAAATCCAATAATTCAACACACGCATTAAGGAATATCATGAGAAGATATATGAGTGAAATTGTTCCGAACTGGTGGAGTAAAGGTTCAAACTATAGCTGATTTCGGCTTATCAGTAAAATACTCTTATTTAAAACGACACGTTTGTTATTCGTCCCAATGAAGTGATCACAACTATTTCCCCCCTGAAGAAGGCACCAACAAGTGCTGAAACGTTGGGATGAATAACAAACGTGTTCAGGTATACCTCTAATTACGAACATTTTTGTTTTTGAAATGTGAGTAAAATCGAATTGTGCGTGAAATCAAAACACATAATCCTTAGAACAGTGGAAATTATGTATATTTAGATTTATTGACTGGAAGTGATGCCTGCTGGATTATCACTAGGCCTACAGCATGTTTAAGGGAAAGTTTACGTCTTCGAAAAAGAAAGAAAAAATACGTTTTGGTTTTTATAAAAATATTGGAATACAGTAAAGGTTGACTACAAGTAAATTGGCACGCCCAAAAGTACCTGTAATTCGTGATTCAATAAGTTTTAAAAGTCCATTAATGGTTGCTTTATAGTACTTTTATTAAAACTTCAAAGTTACTGCATTAGATGGTTACATTTCTCCAGTTCGAACGAAATCTCGAACCTTCCTATTGCTGGAGCCCATCACTGCCCGCACAGTAGAAACTGACACAGAATCAGCGTATTTCTTCCATTTTGTCCGCATTTGCTGGATGTCCTTGACTACCCCGCCGCTTCATCGAAGTCGCTGCTTTGAAATTGCCCAGTATTTTTCGATTGATTGAAATTCCGGGCAATTCGAAGGATTCATTGGCTTGTAGACAAAATCGATCTAAGTAAGTCATATTAGACGCGAAATTCAGCTCAATCAAACGTACTTTCGAACTTTTCAGTCTAGGAGCACTTATAGCGAATTCGTTTATTATTCAGTTCCAACCTGGATCGGGTATCAAGATTGGGTCTGCTTGTTTTCCGACAAACGTCAGTTTGCTCGTTTGTTTTTAAAACCTAGCTCAGGTTGAGGTTCGCACTGACAAAAAGTTCGGTTTCGCACTGGGTCGGAACTGGTTCCAACCCCGATAATAAACGAATTCGCTATTAATTTTACATGATATGTTTGTTTACATCTCATCCTTTATGTCAAAGATGCATTCCGTCACGTGTAAGATTAGGCATTTCTAAGTGTGTATGTTTCGTCATCGATCAAAGTGCAGCCCTTGTGTTTTGTCAAAACACGGTCGTACAAGAGCCTTGCACACTATTTGGTCACGGAATTCTGCTTCATGTGCCGGTTCGGATGTTTACTGGCTTTGCACGACTTGTATCCTTCCCTGGCAAGGATGTTCCGCACCGTTTGCAAGTTGACGTTGTATAGCTTCTGGACACATCTTGCATCGAAAGACCGGAGTTAGCTTTAGCGCACCTCAACACCTTGCTGCGCAGCTGACGATCGCTGGCAGTGCGGTAAAACTTCAAACTCAAACGAAAATAAACCACGAAAATGATAAAGGCAACCTTTCATTATCAACACACCATGAATTAATCATTTGAGCTTCGTTAACATCTTCAATTGAGTCATGAAAGGTTCATTGTCAAACGAGAAACCCCTTCTTGTCGTTTGATTCATTAGTCATTTACATGCAATTGAAAACAAACCTGCCTCCTTCATTGACTCAGCTTGTGGTAGTGAACCATGAAATCGGTTCATTCGCTGTCAAATTTACATAAATGAACAGCGTCACGATAGTTGACAACAGGTCCGACTATGTAAACTGTCATCTCTTTCATCCCTATATGTCGTCAAAAGAAGCTTCGAGTTTGACGTCATATGTGCTGCTGTGTAAGTAAATCCGAAGAATGAAAGAAACATGAAATACATTTTGTCAAACCTGTATTTCATTCATTGACGCAAAGCAGTACACAAGAAACGAAAACAAAAACAATCGTATCAAAACAAAACGTCGATTTGCAAGCAGCTGAAAGTTTTGCAATTTGGTTGTATTTTGAGAGGTATTTTCTGCAATGTAATATAATACTGATTCTTCTATTAATTCTGCTCACATTTTCAAATTACGGCAGAGAGCAATTATAAATCCGTTTCGTTTCGTCTGGCAAAGTTTTGCACACATTCATCCCAAATGATACTGCGTACTGTAGTGCTCCAAAATTACCGAAGGTATGATGTGGAACTTGTGGATCACTCCAGGATTTGCATGCAGAGCACCATTAAAAGCGATAAAACCATGCATCTGACATTGCGAGTGTTGCGAAGATTTCATCCAGCCAGAAATACATGCTGTGTTACGGATCCTGTTTTTTTGCTCTGCACTAACTGTTGGATAACGCGGATAAATTGAGGAGATAACAGTAAAGGAGAGTGTCCATACTTGATTCGAGGGGAGACTTGACCCTCATGATGGTTGTTTTGTAAATCTGGTGTATGCAGTAACAGAATCCAACTAGCTCAAATCTAGATTCAGCTAGAAAAATGGCCTAGAAGCTTTTGTAAACAAAGACTTCTCTCGATGATGCCTAGGAATTCGAGACACTCCCACGCAAACCAACATAACACCTGGGTTGGGGGCAGTCTTTCCCTACCCAATGGTTATGTGGGTTTACGTGGGTGAGTTTTTAGTTTCTGGAAATCATCTAGAGAAGGCATTGTTTTCAAAAACTGTAAGGCCCTTTTTCCAGTTCTACAGAAATAAACAAAACTTTTTAGCATTGGCTACGCATCTCATGAAAGTGGATCAAGCATACCCCGAATCAAGTATAGCCACCTACCTCTACAATTGTCATCACCATTTCTTAATAAATCGATTTTTTATGAATGGCCTTATTTGAATTATTGAAAAAATAACGACATTGAATTCCTTTTGGGTGAAGTGAGTTAGTCTGTCAGTGTACATAATTTTCAAATTGTCTAAATGTAATTTAATCTTTCAAGAATGGTGAAGTGGTTACTAGCTGAAGAATAAATTAATTAAATGAACATGAATAAGGAAGAGTTCACGAGCTATAGGAAAAGTGCTCACTGGTAAGGTGGTTGGTTTTTATGTGTTGATTATTGCCTGGGTGCCTATATGCTATAGCCATAAAGATTGAATAATTCTAGATAGAACTGGAAAAGGGCCTAACAACTTTTATCAACAATACCTTCTCTACATGATTTTTAGAAAATCAGACTTGCCCACGTAAACCAACATAACTTTCGGGTAGGGAAAGACTGCCCCTGTCTGGTGGTTATTTTGGTTTGCGTGAGCGTGTCTTAAATTCCTAGTCATCATTGAGAGAAGTCATCGTGTACAACAGGTGCTAGGCCCTTATTCTATTTGAATATATGTCCTTATTATCACTGATCATAGAAAAAAACAAGTAATCCCTCCATTTATGTGGCGGGTGGTGCCGTCCACCCACCTCTATTTTTCTGTTGTCTTTCAACCAATTGAGCCAAGAAACAGTTGAAACAAAGCAATTGATGAAAAATAAAAAATAAGAAAATCAGTTGATTCTGAAGATGCCGTCCTCAATAGTCGGCCAATGAATCCTTCCAATTGTATAGAGTAGGGATTATTTGTTCATAAACCTCCCGGTTTAGCTTTATCAGTAGGATGTTTTCCAATGTGCCCTCGCCTAATGTGGACCGATGGGGTGAAAGAACCAGTGCTAGAGCGCTGAACGCCCTTTCAACCATTGACTGCGTCGCTGGTACAGACATTACCACTGCAGCAACAGCAGATAGCTCACGGTGACTAGTCTTACGGTTCATCCAATGTTGCCACACGTTGTATGACGTTGTTCCGCCTCAAAAGCCTTAACCTGCTGCTGGAATGTGGAGTTTGAAGATGAAGCAACCAATGTTCCACCAAACATTTCCGTGATAAAATCATCCTTTTCGTTGGTTTCACTGTTGTCATTAGCCGAGGTAGTCGGTTCAACGGAATCGATTTCCAGCCGTTTGATGCGTTTCCATGTTTGAAAAATAAATCTCTGTATATTTAGGAAAAAAAATTTATGAACTCTGATGTGCCTGGTATAAACTGTACCGTTTTATTTATTGTTACCTGTATATGTTCCTTTTCGGCAATGGTGAATATTTTTGAATTTATGAAAGAAAGCCGCGGGTCCAGATATAATGCCATTTTAAACGCCATAGAGCCTTTGAGGTTTGTGAGTCTCCTTGTCAGCGATTCGACCAAAACTTTGGAAAACGGATTGTTTTCCAGCTGTCTCACCTCGCGTATTGTCATCAACCATTCAAGATAAAAATCGTTAAGTGACATGTGAGCTTCTTGGAATTTTTTTGTGCAAACGAATAATGGCCTGAATGCTTCAACATATTGCTCGACGAATTCCCAGTTGGATGAAAGATCTGTGATAAATAATGATGATGATTTGTGTTATCGTTATTTCTTTTGTAGAGTTCTAAATTTATCTTACATAGCTCAGGGAACTCCTGTCCCAGTTGGACAAAGAAGGATTTCTGCTCTAAAAAACTATCGAGCATCTTGAATATCCCACCCCATCTTGTCTGGCACCAAACTGGAGGATATGTGGCGTTGTGGTAATCGAAATTCGTTTTGTATTTCACGTTTTTACAGCGTTTGGCAACCTCAGTAACTTGCTTCACGTTAGGGTGGCTTTTATCCACGACATCGAGGATGGCCAGCTGTAGGGTGTGTACAGCACATCTCACCAAGTTTAAGTTCTCTCGTGCCTGGTCATGGAACTCAT